GAGTTTTGTCACAATTTTTTTAGAAACTGAAGAAATAAAAAAATTTTTTTTTTTTTTCCCCTACAATTTTACACATACTGTCACCAAAGCAGTACAGTGTCATCATATGGTTTGGCAGTGATAAACTATACTAAGTGATGACAGCATGTTAATTGGCATGTGATTGGCCCCAAATTTATTCTGCAGAAGGACAACTATCCCAAACATACAGCCAATATCATTATGAACCAAGTTTGTCTGGAATTACATAGAGAGACAAAAAGGATTTGAGGCAGCCTAAGGCCTGTTGCAGACAGGAGTAAAAAAAAAAATGACGAGTACTGATCTGAAATAAGATGTATGATTGTCAATGGGTCATTGCACACAGCTGAGTAAAGATCAGCAATACAGCGTTGAGCACAGAGCAGTAAAACAAAAATAGAACATTTTTCATTTGAGTGCAGTAATTTACTCACATTTACTAGTTTTGACCCCGTGCACACGGGTGTTGTAAGTACGAGTGAGAATAATACAGTACTGGCAATAAAGAAGAATTTTTACTCATCTATACACTTACACACCTTTACGCGCATATACTCATTCAGTTTTTGGCCCCTTGCACACGGGTGCCACAAGCTCCTGAGCAAACATCAATAATTACGATACCCATGTACAAGGGGCCTATATCTACAGACGATCTGTGGTTCATTCTCCAAAATGTTTGGAACAACCTACCTAATGAGTTCCTTCAAAAACTGTGTGCAAGTGTACCTAGAATTGATGCTGTTTTGAAGGCAAAGTGTGGTCACACCAAGCACAGATTGGATTTTCATTTCTTTTCATTTACTTTCCATTTTGTGTTAATTTGTTAAAAATAAACTAAGACTTCTATTTCCAAAGGAATCTTCATTTACAGCATAATTTCACACCTGCATAAGACTTTTGCACAGTACTGTGTTTCGTGTATCATCCTGGTCCTGTCATTTCTCTGTATTTTCACATTGGCCAACAAAAACTAAAATTATCATGACAGCAAGGGATATTTATAGGGACCGATGAAGCTATTTTTGCGTGCCTCCTTACACACAAATGTCATTTTGTCGCCCTATGCTTGCACTAGGGCCTTTCGTACCTGTATGTTATATAAACCGTTTTCATCTGTTGTTTATAGGGCAGCTTTGGCTAGATTTTGTAATGTTTAGCATTTAATTTCAGTTTTCAAGGTCAGCGGCAGCTAGAGATAGGAGTACTGCTATATTCTCCTGGGTTCCAACAGACCTGACAACAAGAACCGAGAATGACAGCAGGAATCTGATGACTATGCTAAATGGAATGACTAAAATTAGCTTCAATTCTAAAAAATAAAATAGAACATTGTTGGTTGCTATAGTTGCCCAAAAAAAATTTCAGGAACCTGGTAATAAATGCATATAAAAAAAAAAAAACCTTAATGTAATTGAGCCCTTTCAGCTGTTTTCATTGAAAACACATTCCCCTGATTTTTCATATTGGCAGCTGAACACACCTGAACTTGACTGGCTGGATCGTCCATTAGATTTTTTTTTATCTTAGGTTGAAGAACAGCATTAAAAGCACTGAACAATGTTAAAATAACATGTTTTAAGCTCTGATTAAGGATTACCTCTCATGCCAGCCAAAGCAAACTGGATGGCATTTCCACCAACACCACAGAACGCATCCACTACAAGAGCATTGTTAATGCACTGGCGAACCCGCTGTGCGATGTGCTCTGCAATCTTCTCTGGGGTCACTGAAAACCAGCCTTCTACAAAGCATACAACAGGAAAAATAATTGTATTATACTCAATGCCCTGTGGCTTAATAACTTACACAAAAAATATTTAGTGGATTACAGCTTTTAGGTTTTAGGGCCATTGCTGCTTTAAAATGAATTGGAAAATTAATAAGATATTTGTACTTGTCAGAAATTTTTTTTCTTGGTGTCCACTGGGTCACAGGAAGTCTTTAACCTTTGGGTTGTACTGCCTCCTACAGAAGGATTGGACACTATCAAGCAAAAAAATAACACTGATGGCAGGTCCAGGATAACTCCTCTCACTACTAGCATGCCTCAGTTTTGTATAAAAAGCCGTACCGAGATCTTGATCGTAAACAGAAAGCAGTGGGCCCTGTTTCCTATAATTGACTCCTAGAAAAGGATTTTACTACGGGCACAGAAAATAGAATTTTTATACTTCCTGTTAAATCCTTTTCTTTGAGTCAAATGAAGGACACAGAAATTCAGATAGTGTTGAATACACTGTCAGCTACAGAAAGAATATTTGTCAAGAAATTGACAAACAGAAAAATTGTAAGCCAACACCTATACCTCCACCTGGTATACCTCATCACCACCATAAGGAACAGAAATACAGAGGGGTGGGACCTGTGTCTCTCAATAGACTCCAAGAAAAGATTTTTAACCACCACCCACCATATAGTAATATGACGGACGCAAGGTGGTTCTCTCGTTCTGCGCATGCGCGGCTCCCGGAGTGTGCAGCGTGGCGATCGGCGGTGCGCTGAGTCCCTCGGACACAGTGGATCACCAATCCACGGAAAGAGCCGAAGATGTCGGCTCGGTCATGTGATCAGCTGTGTCCAATCACAGCTGATCACATGTAAACAGGGAAATGCTGGTTAGTGGCATTTCTCTCCTCACGAGCGGTCACGCTGACAGCTCGTGAGGAGAGCCGGTAATCGGCATTCCTCGGAGGAGGGGACATGTACACAGATCAGAGCACTGATGATCAGTGTGTCCTGATGATCTATGTAGCCCCAGCAGCGCCACCTGTCAGTGTCCATCAGTGCCAGCTCTCAGTGCTCATCCATGCCACCAGCCAGTGCCCATCAGTGCCACATATCTGTGCCCATCTGAGCTGCCTTTCAGTGCCGCCAGTCAATGCCCATCAGTGCCTCCTCATCAGAGCCGCCTATCAGTGCCCATCAGGGCCGCCTCATTAGCGCACATCAGTGAAGGAGAAAAATCACTTTACAAAATTTTATAACAAAAACTGAAAAACATTTTTGTTTTTCAAAATTTTCAGTGGTTTTTGGTGCGTTTAAGACCCAGAGGTGATTAAATACCACCAAAATAAAGCGGTCACAAAAAAATTATAAAAATTTCATATGGGTACAGTGTTGCATGACAGCGCAATTGTCAAAGTGCAACAGCGCTGAAAGCTGAAAATTGGCCTTGGCAGGAAGGGTGTATAAGTGCCCTGTAGGCTAGTGGTTAGTGGCTAGTGGTTAGACTACAAACATTTCATTTTCTTTCTTGTCCATTGAAGGACATATGAATTTAGATATACTGTAGATATACTTTAGTCGGAGTCTGGAAAGTCATTGCACTATTACTTCCTCTCCTTTATACTTCATCCAATCAGAGAATGCATTCACTGAAAAATACAAGACATTCTGTGAATGGCAGCAGTGCGATCAAGCAACCTCTCCTCATGGCCAGTGTGCAGCAGGGAATCCCCTCAGCATAGGATTGGTAAGCTTGCCGCTATTTCTGTAGTCACGCCAACCACTACAGTGATAGTCAGATACTCCAGCAGCCCCTCAAGTTTGAAATATGCATACTTACATTGGTCCAAGCTGGGCCTTTGTAAGTATGCAATAAAGATCATACCGGAGTTAATTTTTATTAAACATAATGCTATCCATCATAAACTAATTCTATTTATGTTAATTATTTTAAATTGCACAGTAAGACTTTAACCACTTGCCTACTGGGCACTTTTACCCCCTTCGTACCCAGGCCAATTTTCAGCTTTCAGTGCTCTCGCACTTTGAAATGACAATTGCGAGGTCATACAACACTGTACCCATATGAAATTTGCATAATTATTTTTCGCACAAATAGAGTTCATTTGGTGGTATTTAATCACCACTGGACGTTTTATTTTTTGCACTATAAACCAAAAAAAAAAAAAAAAAGCAAAAAGTTTGGAAAAAAAAAAGTTTTTCTTCTATTATAAAATTTTGCAAACAGGCAATTTTTCTCCTTCACTGATGTGTGTTGATGGGGCTGCACTAATAGGCAGCACTGATAGGCAGCGCTGATGAGGCGGCACTGGTGGGCTTTGATGAGGCAGCACTGATAGACAGAAATAATGGGATCTAAACGGCACTGACTGGTGGCACTGATCATCAGTGCCCTGATGATCAGTGCGGATGTCCTCTGTGACACTTGCTGGTTATCAGCAGCATTTGGAAAGTGTATTTTCTCGGTGATCTGCAGTGTCATTGGACAGAGCTGATCACGTGGTAAAAGGCCACTGTGATTGGCCTTTTACCTCATGTGATCAGCTGTGTCTGTAGGACACAGCAATCATGGACAGTGCCAGGTGCGCACCGCTGGGGGCGCGCTGGAGGGCATGTTCTGGGAGGACATTATATGATGACCTCCCAAAACTGGACAACCACGCTGTATCCGTCATTTCGGCTATAGCGTGGTTGTGAAGCAGTTAATAAGTACCAAAACGGGGTTGCCCTGGATATACCACACGCCATACAGAAAAATTTGCTGTCATGATGATAATTTTTCCTGTCATTAGCAAATACAGTAATTAAGCACAGTGTTAAGACTATACAAACAAGTTTTTTATACTTTAACAAAGTGTATTCTTTAACTTGCTTAGGGGAAGTATTTGGCTTTGTTTGTGCATTCACCAGCTTACATTTGATTTGCTTGCCAATTCTATTGCAAATATTCCAAGTACTATAAATACAATAAATATTTACCCAGCATGGACAAGCTGCATATTCCTCCAAATTGAATTCTAAGTTACTGCTACCTATAGTTCTACTGAACAATCATGGAATATTCCCATCTTGTATGATTTTCTTAAGCCGTCGCTTCAAGTTCTTACAATATATGAGGATTTGGCTGAAATGTGGACTTGGTACATAAGTGATGCCACCTAACCTATTGCTTTGCCCACACAAAGAGGCAGAAGATGTGTTTATGTAGTGGTATTGCTGTTACACTTTACCTTCATCCAGTTGTATCCCTTCATCAAATCGAGAGAAGAGTCTGTAGCGCTGGGCCCAGTATTTGGCAAGGTGTGGATCACCAGCAATTTCTGGTGGCAGTAAAGACATTTTCTTTTTACTTTTTTTCTTTTTCTTTCTATTGCTTTTGTCTGTAGATGTCACCTGAAAGCCTATAAAATACAGGTGGTTATATGTGTTAGGCAGTTTACACATTTCAATATAAATATAAATATATATATATATATATATATATATATATATATATATATCGCTTTAAAAAAAAAAGACAAAAAAAAAAAAAACAAATTCTAACTAATCTGACATAGAATGCATTTACACACAAGCTTATTTGAGTTCAATATGAATCTGTAGCTTTAATATGTATTCATGTATGGATCAGAGATTAGGATGTGTAATATTTAAAATATGTAATGAGTTTAGTTTGGCATTTTTTGTTTTTTATTTTTGGATCGTATTTGTTTTGTATTGAGATGTCTTTTTATGGTATACCTCAGGGGTGCTCAACCATTTGAACAGCAAGGGCCACTTAAGTGATTTACCCTAAGCCCTCTATAAGGCTGCTTTCACACCAATGTACTGTGGTTTACCTGCACCGCAGGTACAGCACAAAGCACCTCTGGGTAATCTGTGCTTTGCCACAGACTTCTTTTACATTTTGCAGATGTGGGTTACTTTCTGAAAGCGCACCAAACCCGCAGAATATAATAAACATCTATGGCTCAGAGCTGCTAACCTGCAGGAAAGCTGTAGATGCACTGTGCTGCACCAGTAAATTAGTGTGAAAGCACTGCACTCTGATGCCCTGGGATGGCAGAGTGCCTAGCCCATATTGGGATCAGTGGGTTGCCAATCACAGGCATGCGCTTCCCTGGTCTGAGGTCACAGGCCACATCTGAGGGCTCTGCAGGCTACAGGTTGAGCACCTCTGGTTTAGGGGTTTGATGATGAAACAAAAAAAAAAAAAAAAAAAAAAAAAAATCAATAAAAACAGATGAAAAATACAGCAAATCACATTTCACATTACTTTAGGGTGGTCATAAAATGGTGGACAAGTCACTTACAGACAGGAAAGAATGTGAGATTTCCCTGTACTTAATCACCTCACTGGAACAGGCTTTGACTTTATCCATAAATTTGCCAGTGAAAGCATTCAGCCAGCAGAAATTTTCCACCAATTTGATGAGTGTCTGTGTATGACAGGAAGCACTTACAAGGCTTAGAAACGTTGGCGTTTGATACGGTTGCTAGTGACATTTTCGATACAAGAAAACGGTTACAAGTGATGCGTGAATTGGTGGCCTTGTTTCCATTTAGAAGTGTACTGGAGTATGCCCACACCTACAGAGAGCTCTGAAACATTAGCTAGCTTGTTCCCAAATGATGCTTTTAACAAACTATCCACTTAATCCAGGGCTGGACCAATACCTTAAAAAATTACAACTTAGGCCTAACTATTTTACTTCTCAACAGAGGCAGATGAACCCCAACTAAAAATATAGCTACCTGTTTGCTACTAGATTGGACTGACCTTTGACTAAATTGTTCATTAAATCCCCCACCTATATTTTTCAACCCCAGAGAAAATGAGAGAACCCAGAATCTTTACATATCAGCGAAGATGTCCACAGAAACTCTGTTTTGATAGCTTGACCAGAATAAAGGTTAAGCCTACAAAGACAGCATTGCCAGGAGGTTCAATTACTAGCTCTTCAATACTGTTTAGAAATTAGCAGAAGGCCTAAGGTACCCAAATCAACCAAAAAACAGCTTTGGAAAAAGTACTAGTGATTTAATAAAAGTTAGAAGAAAAATTCACCAACCATTTCTCATCTCTTCTGATTCAACCTGTAGATAGCTTGGAATTTCTAGCGAGATCAGCTGTCTTTTTGAGTCTGCACTATTCCTCGACTGTTGCTGAGCTGAATTTTCATTTTCTGAACACCAGATGGCATTATAAGGCAATTTACAATTTGTCTCTTTGCCTTCCTTGGTGTCTTCTAGTAAGTCAGACTGCATTTTAGCATCATGTAATTCAGAGGTGTCATTGATATCAGGATGGCTATGTTCCTCAGAAGCTTCTTGGAGGTAAAATTCCTTGTGTACATCAGCAGATGATTTGATATTTGAAGAGTCCAGTCCTTCAGAGTCAGAACTACTGAGAGAATCCTCCACCTCTGGCAAATCTTCATTTATTTCACCCTCAGCAGGTCCTTCCATCTTCCTCAGGAATGTCTGCACCTGACAAAAGAATAGCAGAGAGAAATAACTTAATTCAAATCAAAAAGGCACAAATGACCATGTACGAGGTGAACAGCAAGTTAGAACAAAGAAAACGTAAAATTCTGCGTGAACCTGGGCAAATTGCTGGATCTCCGCAATGTTGTCAAAACGGCGACCTTTGAGCTGGATCTTCATCTTCGGAAAGAGGGCATTTTAAGGGGCTGAGCTTGTTGAAGGTCTTCCTGATCCCTCATATGAAGCGCATGTGTCACTGAAACCCCTCAAACAACTCATTGCAGCAGTCAAACATCTCTGTGGTAGATTTGCGCAGTTTCACAGAGAATTTCACATATGCTCTGTGTTCTAGCTTGCTGTCCATGATAGAATAGCATCAGTTGCACAGCTCTCAAAGTACATAGGATGATGTATTTTGGCACACTGACTTATGAAGGTCGGTGCGCCCTGTGACTGTACGTGCAGACTTGTGCTGCCATCTGTTGGTGTGTTGTAAAACTAGTCTCAAAACTTTTTGATACTATCTCGTAGTATTTTCTTCAGATGTTATAAGACCGAAAGTGGAACTTTTCCTTTCCTTTTTCTTGGTCAGTTTTGTATGTTGCAAATATGCACAAGGCAAACTTCAGTGCAGAATCTTTCCTGCTTCTGTTCTCTAAACACCAAAACAGTCTATTCCACTAATTTAATCAAATCGAGGGAGGTGAGACAGTCAAGAAGGAGAGTGTACCTTCTAAAATCAATCCCAATAAGGGAGAATTTGAATAATTTCTGAGAAAAATCATATGAGCAGGAGATGAAATTTATGAGGGTGTACTGCAGTGTAGAGAATACTTGGAAAGCTCTGCTATGGTAGCAAGGAAGCAATATTGGTTGTAGACTATAATGGACATTATTCCAACATTATTAAACGACAAAATGTCTTTTGTAGCAATCATTGAGAATTTTTTCCCACCATGTTTAAAACACTATTTAAGATCTACCATTTTAGTGATCATTTCTGTACATAAAATGAGTAATTTAATGTGGACAGCCGAACTGCTCCAATGATATGACAAAGAAAAGTCAGGCCATCATTTCTTGTATCTGAAAAGGCCATACCTTTTTTAACGTTTTACTTTGTGTGGATTTCATTTCCGATTCATCTGCAAAAAATATATGGCTGTTCTTAACATTCACACGTCTGTGCATATCCAGGAAATGAGAGCGGTGCCTGACTCCTTTATCCAGATAGCGCAGAGTCCGATGCCTGAAGTGTGGCATTCCTCCATATCTAGAACAGGTACACATGCAGCAAATATATATGAATATATAAAAAAATACAAAGATGCATACCTATATATAAAATGAAGACCCAAAACAACCTATGAGTATCATCTTACTACAACACAATCATCAGCCCTTTTACAACCAGAGCCTTCAGAAATTTTTGCACACCCTCTGGTCAAGGCTAGAGTTTGTGTTACATCAATTAAAAAGCTTTAGGACCCTTTCACACTAATCCTTTTTTAATCAGTTTATCAATTTAAAAAGTAGAAGAAAATGCATGAAAAATACATCCATTTAAATCCTATGGAACTTTTCATACCAGTCGCATTTTTTTTTTTGTATAATCTTTTTATTGAAAATTTTCAAAGAAAGATAAAGTGATCTGATAACCTCAGTGTGCCATCGTAAAAGTTTCAAAGTATGACAAACACAATTCCAAAAGGCACCATTTCAGGGGTGCACTGAGCCATATATCGCAGTGGGGTCTCACTAGAATAACCAAGAGGCCCCCACAAAAGTACAATAGAATTGTAGGCCAACATTATGGCAATATGGTAGAGGCATACAGACCCAAATATAGAGAAAAAAAAAAAACAAAAACATACTAAAAGATCATAAAAGCAGACAAGAAGTGAACAACAAGCATTCACAGTAATGAGGTGGGCAAATGTGCATCAACCTAAACCTCAGTACCAAGCACATGAGAATCCTGATGGCATTACCTTATTTGTACGCTAAGTAGAATACAGTCCCCAAAGCTGCAGCAGGGCATATGCAAAATCAAAGGAACCCTACCTGTCCCAAAGATCATGGTAGTGCATGGGAATAATAAATCCACCCAACCCAAACATCATGAAACTTCTTCAGGGTATTATTTGCTGCATGGACCCAGCGTTCTGCCTCCATAATCTGATCCACCTCCCTCCTCCAGCCAGCAAGGGTCGGGCAGGTCACCTGTTTCAAAAGTGTGGGATCATACACTGCAACTTTGAGTAAACGCGGTGTCACACTGTGTTTATATGCTTTAAAGGAAGAGGGAGTATCATGGAAGAGACAATGGAAGGGCATAAGCCTAACTGGTCAGAGTGTGGTCTTCTGAATAAAAGGAAATAAAGACTCCCAAAACTTCAGAATCTTGGGGCATGACCATGTATGCAGAGAAGTACCCCTTTCATTGCAGCCCCGCCAACATCTCACATCTGTAACAGGATAAAATTGTGTAAGGCGTGCCGGAGTTTTATACCACCTAGACAAAAATGTATAACATGACGCCTGCACTCTAGATCATACAGAGGGGATATGAGTAAGTCTTATACTTTTTTGGAAGTTGGGGTGGGGGAAAAAACTCCACATTAAGTTCATGCTCCCATTCTTTAATAAAATATGGAGGGTGAGTGACCGAGGAACTTATGAGCAGTCTAAACATTTGGAACAAAAGATGACCCAACTCTGGGAGTAAGGAACAAAGGGATTCAAATGCAACAGGAGTAGAAATGAGCTCTCAATTTAGAGAGTCTTGTCAAGAAAATCAGAGCTGTTGTTGCCTCCAATAGTCCAATGGGAACGAGCCATTGTTACTTCTTAGGACGTCCAGGGAAAGGAGAGACACAGTGGGGGCCAGCTTAGCACAAGTAATATCTCCGTCCGCCCCCCCCCCATGTAACAGGTGCACATCTTTTCCTGGTGCAAACCAGTGAAAATGGTCAGTTGCGTTTTAGGCTGCTTTCACACTTCTCATTTGCAAAAAGGCAGCAAAAATGTATAACCTTCAATGAAGTTTTTATGGGTGTGTCCCTGAAGAGAAGTCTGATAGTTGCTTGCTGCACGACACTCCCATGTCTATTAAAAAAAATATATAAAATCTCATTGCTGAAACATCTACTCAAAAGGTGCTAAAGCATGTATTCCAGCACTGTCGAAGAGTACTAACTACCCCCCTCCCCCAACAGATCACACTGGCTAGCCGGGATTTGGGAAATTCAATTGATGGTAGAACTCACTTTGATGATGAAACAAGGAGAGAAATATTGGAAGATTTGGCTCCATATTTCCTTTATAAAGAACAGTCCCTTCTAGCCTCCCAGCTGCAAATGTCGCCATCCTGAATTAGTCTCTGAGATACTTGTTGATGGCCAGGCGGGGAGGGGGGGGGTCTTGACACTCCCTGTCCCCCCCCCCCCCCCCCCCCCCCCCCCCTTTCTCTCTGCTCTTTGTTTCCCTCATTTTCTACTTCTGTATTCTCCTAGGTTGATTTTTTTTTTACTATGGTATGAAAATTATAATTTGGGAGTGGCAATTACTTTGAGTATAACATATCCTACATATTGTGTTGCGGTCTCTGGTAAGCTCAGATGGTCTCAATGCTAAGTTATAATTAAGTGGGGGGTGTGGACAAGCTGCTGATGTGAGAAGACGCTGAGCTCTTAGCTGCCGCCGAAAATCTGCTTGTTATCTGCAATACATTAAAAGGAAAGAGAGAGCGGCACCTTCTAAGTGCAGTATGAAAGGTATTTAATAAGCACAAATGGTAAAAATTCACAATGTGGAAGTAATAAAATAGCCCATCAGTATAATACAAAATGTTTAATAAAAAATAAAGTAGGTGTTGTACTCACAAACGACAATATAATCAAGGCACATCATAAAAGAACAGCTGGGTCAACACCGCGCTGAGTAACAGTCCGCAATAGGGAGTCTAAACTCCCTATTGCGGACTGTTACTCAGCGCGGTGTTGACCCAGCTGTTCTTTTATGATGTGCCTTGACTATATTGTCGTTTGTGAGTACAACACCTACTTTATTTTTTATTAAACATTTTTTATGGTAATGCACTAGGCCTGTGCGCCCTCTCTTTGTTCTTTCCCCATTCAGTATATTTGAATTCCCCTGGTCCATTTGAGGGCAGCAAGGTGTGCATGTTCCAGGACATTCTTAATGTGGTTGTAGCCTGCATCGAGTCCATCCCCAAGCGCAGGAGCATTTGTGTTTGCTGGTTCTTAGCCCATCAGTATAGCCATGATCCTAGTCCTGCAGGAAACCGTCCAGTAGGGTGCTAACCACGGTTAGTCCCAGGCACTGTCGTCCAACTGGAGCTGGAAGTACCTGTAACCAGCGTGAACTGTAAGCTGGGAGGAAATTACATCACACAGAAGAGTTCGGCTGACACAAGGCTACGCGCTCAGAGCTAACTGCACCTTCTACATGCCTATAGGCCTTCCTGTGTGACGTCACTTCCGCCCGGCTTGCGGTTCACACTGGTTACAGGTACTTGCGGTTTCGTCAGAAGATGGCACCTGAGATTCCTGACCATCCAGAGCAGCTTGGGATCCCCTCCACCATCTACAGCAGTGAGCACCCAACCAAATGGATTCCAGCAGGACTAGGATCACGGCTATACTGATGGGCTATTTTATCACTTCCACATTGTGAGTTTTACCATTTGTGGCTTATTAAAAATACCTTTTATACTGCACTTAGAAGGCGCCTCTCTCGCTTTCCTTATTATGCAGAGTTGGCTCACTCTGGGAAGGCAGCCATCTAAAGCGGTTACCAGATACAAACTTGATTGGGACTTATGGACTGGTTACAATATACATTAGTGCGTTGATATTTCTTCTTTTTATCTGCTATACAAACTCCTCACAGCCACGTACAATGGTGCACTGGGTTCCTACTTGCCTTCTCCACCTCCCCATCCACCTTGCAGAGTCATCCCACGACCAGAGCCATGACCACACAAGCGAAATAGAGAAGAGGCCGGGGTCCCGGACTGGCCAAAATGGCACCGACATGCTCCCTTCAATCTTAGCACCTCAGGGAGGAAATGGCCCTCATCCGCCATGATGTCCAGGAGGTGCGGGAACGCACCTCGGCACTGGTAGACAGAGTGAGTTCTCTAGAGGATGAGCTAGGCCCAGCTAAGAGGGACATTGCTTCTACTAATGTCACTGTTCAACGCCATGCAAACCATTTTGATGATATGGAGAACAACTTGCAAAGGAATAATATCTGGATCCTAGGTCTCCCTGAAAAAATTGAGGGCCGCAACCCCACTGCATATATTGATCAATGGTTATTGGACACCTTTGACAAGAAGAATTTTACGCCATTTTACAGTGGAGAGGGCGCATCGTATTCCAGCCCAACCCCTACCTCCAGGAAATCACCCTCAGCCTTTCATCTTGAAACTGCTTAATTTTAAAAGACTGGGACAACATCCTAGCTCTAGCCTACACCACAGGCTTTGTAGAGCTTATGGGCTCAAAAATTTCCTTTTTTGCGGACTTTTCTGTGAAAGTCCAGAAGCTACGGGCCGAATATGTGAAACACAGGCTTCTGCCGCTTCAAGTCCCATATGCAATGCTATACCCCACTAAGGTTCGAGTGGTCGCGAATGGGGAAACCCCCCTTTTTTGATATCCCCAAAACCACAGGTCACCAGCTGGATGGCAACGAGCAACATCCTTCCAGAGCATGCTCTCCATTGTGAACATATGCCATTGGACTAGCTGTAGTTTCCAACTGTTGCTAAAAGCAGCACCATTTACATAGATGGCACACAGACCTCACTATGTTGATAGTTTCTCAAGTGTTTAGCATCAGGACTGCTCACATGCGGCCTTGGAATCTTTGCTTCTCCCCCCCCCCCCCCCCCCCAAGGATGATCCTGCAGGATATGAAGTTTGTTATGGCCCTCTATTTTGGGCCTTCACTTTTTTAATTGTTGTATTTTTACCTCTAACCAGCAGCTCAGAAAATGTCTATACCACCCACACAACCCACTCATTCCAACCTCCTCGGTAGCTTATGCTAACCCTACAGATGATCTTATATACTTGCCTGCTGTCCCTCTTTACCACTGGTGTTTGTCCTTGGCTCTTAAACAGTGTGGAAGGGTGGGCAACCTCCCTTCTGGGTTTAATCTGCCTATATCTTTTGCCCACTTCCCCCCTCTATGGGCGCAGAAACTAGATTTACCTCCTGGAACATGAGGGGGCTGAAAGA